ATACAAAGGCTATCTATTATTATTATTATTATTATTATTATTATTATTATTATTGTGTTTGAAAATGTTAATTTTGATTGAATTGCTCTGATTGTTTTCCGTATATCTCTGAACCACACGTCAATACGTCCAGAACATTGCTATTATATATTTTTAATTTCGTTTTCAATAAAATGATCTTTGACTTCCATATACATGTAGACTTTAGTTTTGAATTTCTCAAAGCGATCCATACATTTTAAAGTCTTTAATGGACGTCGTCAAGGCAGTCAGCTGTTTTGGAGAAAATGCTGCCAAGGTACTTGAGTTAACTAATTTCTCCAAGAGGCTCTCCATAAAGAGTGATGAGACTAGTTTTCGGCGATAGTCGCAGCACTTCTGTTTTGGACACATTTATTAAATCAAAAGGCCAACCTTTTTCCACAGCTCAAGCTAATTCATTTTTAAAAATTGCTCTTTATGTACTGTGGTGTTTAGTAGGCAGTCATCCGCAAAATCTAAATCTCCTGAATAAGTGCTATTAAACCATCCAATGTATGTTTCAATGTCTTTGCTCTATCTCAGTATAAAAGCGATCACAATTCCAAAAAGTACAGGCCTGTCTAACTCTAGATTTTTACATCAAAAGGTGTAGGTAGTTTTCGTTCAACTAAGACACAGTAGTTAGCTTTGGTTTATATAATGATCTTATGCAGTTTATTATTTTTTGGAATGCCATAAATTAGAAGAAGTTTCCACAGCGCCATATAATAAGGAAAATGACACTGAAACAAATAATGTAATACATGTAATAATGATGATGATGATGATGATGATGATGATGATGATGATGATGAGGAGGAGGAGGATGATGATGATTTCTTTTTTGTTTGTTTTGTTTTCGCGGGTGGTTGGTGGGTGCTCTAGTGTGGTTAACGCCTTCTTTCCTCCTCCTTTTTTGTGGTTGTTATTCTCTTGTAACTCATCTAATACTTCGGCGTGCTGAAAGCGCTTCAAAACTCTTACTACAAAATAAAGTTTTGTTTTGTTTTGTTTGGTTTGGTTAGTTGTTTTTTTGTTGTTGTTCGAGGGATTTTCGAGTTAGCGACAGTGACCGATAAGACGAAGCCAAGAGGATGGAGTGCCTTGCAAACTTCTTAAACAATCCAAGTGAGGGGGCTCTCGTCGCCTTCGGGTTAAAAAGTGTTCGCCTCTCATTCATTAGGCCCCAGGTTCGAATCCGGACAGCGACAGAACATTTTCTTCTCTAAAATTGTCTTCTTTCGTCTCTTTTCCTGCTCTTTAACAAAGTTCTGTCGTCTGCTTTTGTCTCCACTTTCTGCCCCACTCCCTCACCTCTTTTGCCCCCTCATCTTGGCTCCTGACTCTTTCTGCAGCCTTTCTGCTGCTACTCCTTCGCTCCTTCTTACTGCTGTCTTTCAGCCACACCCCTGATCTTCTGACAGGAAAGACCTACACTTAGTACTTCACCTTCTCGGACAAGGGCGAAAAATCTCGGTGGTCCCGTGTGTAAATTGCCCGCTTAAAAGATCCCTTGGTGGTCCAAAATCGATAAGAGTGGGTAAAATTCAAAATTTCCTACCAACTGAAAATATTTAATTAATGTGTCCCGCGCGCTCATGTAGTTGAGAGCGCTGTAAAACACTTACTAGAAATAAATCCAAGTGAGAGAACTTTCAGCTGGGGATAGAACAAGGGTCACACGCACTGGAGTCATATATGTGATACCGCCCATTGTCAATATATATTTTAAAAAAATATATTTATTATATGTACATGCACTTCTTTTTTACATGTATTCAAATTCATATATACTGAAAACAGGATGGTTTGTACCAGCGTATCTGTATCTGATATCATGGCTAAAACCCTCCGTATTTCACGCAGAGGCAAAAGTTTGATCCATTAAAAGTAAGAACGATATCTTATCATACACAGTATCTGTTTCTCTCTGCTGGGATTGTATCCAAGCGGCTCGAGTAAGCTCTGTGAGCTCTCTTCCTCCTCATTATCATTACTGCCTTTCTCTCCTTCACAGGGCATAAGCCACAAACACTTCCCACCTTTCCCTATTTTGGACTAGCCTCTTGATATCAATCAATTTCTTCCCACTTTCCCGTACACCGTTCTTTGTGACCAGAGCCGCCTCCTAAGTTACCTTAATTTTGTATAGATCTACTTTTTAATTTATCGGTACATTTTCGGACCATTGAGCGAGCTAGAGAAAAATAGATTTTTAAAAAATGTATTAATTTATTTGTACATACTGATTATATTTTCAGATCACTAGGCGAGCCGGGGAAAGATAGATACATTACATGTAATTTATCGGTACACATAATTGACAATAAACCAACAGTTTGGCCTGTCTTCGATGTGCCTTACATGCAGGAGTAGTTGTCTACGTTGGATGTGCTGCGTAGGATGAGGGTGTGTCGGGAGATTCCTGCACGAGAGCAGCCGGCGTCTCGCTTACCACTGCGCTGGGTGGGACATAGGATTTACATGTATTACCCTGCAACTGATCGGCTTTATTACCTAAAAGTGTGTGTCGTTTCATCATGAACAAATGTAGTTACGTAGTGCACGATAAGATAAGATAAGAAAAGATAAGTTAATTCTATTTATCAACGAGGGCAATTTTGGCCAGATGAACATACAGAGACTCGGCATCAACAAGAAATGCACTCACCATATTACGTTTCCACCAGCCGTGATATACCCCACATGCACCCAGGAGTCATACGCATCAAGAAAGAGAGCAGAGAAGGCAATGAATTTATTTGAGCCAAAGTGATGTGGCAGAAAGCTACAAATGTCAATGGAGAGGGAGAGTGAGAGAGAGAGAGAGAGAGAGAGAGAGAGAGAGAGAGAGAGAGAGAGAGAGAGAGAGAGATACAGAGAACTGTCTCAATTCCGAAAGACTCCTTCCCCACCCAATATAATGGAATTTGTCGGAGTCTTGCACCCTTCCATATATATGCGCGGCTTCGGTTTGCACAAAACCAGTTAAAGTCAGGTAAAATCGTCCACCAAACAGTTCACATGTATACGTGTGCACGCTCAATAAAAAAAAAAGGTCACCCGGAATGTTCCCCGATGTATGCACGTTTCCAGCTCCTTGGCCAGACCCCGAGAAAAATAGTATACATCCATGCTATATTTTTTATATATGGCTTGCTCTACGCGCTTTACCACTATCATTACCCCAAGCAGACCTTAGAACACCCGGAAACATTCTTGGGTTCCTAGGAAAGAAAGAGTGCAAGTAGCAGATTGCGCACGCTAGAACACTTACAAACAGACAAGATCTTTTGCTGTGAGTAGCTGGGTGGCCAACCCCACCTGGGTGAAGTGAGGAAAATTTGAGTTGAAACTTTAAGTGTCTATTCCAAGAACACAACGCTGGGCCCCTGACAGGATTCGAACCCACGTACATGTACATGTATTATGGTTCTGTCACGACGTTCTGGTTTACAGCAAGAAGTCTGATCTTTATCTCTTTGGTGGTCTTTGAAACATTCCATCAATGTGCACTTTTCATGTTCAGGAATTTTCTGGATTTCAAGCCATTAACAGATTTACTGTGTGTCGTAAAGTGTAAAGGTAAATTAATGTAGACAAGGCTGATCGACTGTCACCCATAGCGAGCTTCTCTCTATGGTATCACCCCATCCACCTCCACCCCTCCCTACGCTGCAATCATCATTCCTTTCTATCCGTTTTCAGCCTCTCTGAGAGTCTGAGCGCTCTCCCTTCGTGCCTATAGCTATTTGTCAATTTATTTGTCCGTCTGTCTGTATTCCGGAGCCAAGAAGATTTGAAAGTTGTACTAGAATTGATAGCTCTGAATGTTGACGGTGAAGTAAGTCAGATCTCATCATTTACAAAACACGTTGCAAGCTGTGCCATTATGTGCCTGTACGTTACAGGGCTCCAGTGTTGCATGGGTCGTTAAAGGCCTATGTAATTTTGAACGTAATTTATTCCGCTTATGGACTCAGTGGCGTCGTTAGCTCGGAGGTTAGACTACCGGGCCCGTAATTATGAGGTTCCGGGTTGGGGCGTTCGAGCCTCAGCTAGGTCCGACGTTGTGACTTGGGAAGGACCAAGGAGGTTATAAATATTCCAAGGTCCTTGGGAAAGACATTTTACACGTACGAATGTTCCAATTTGGCTCTGGTTGTTGTTGTTGTTGTTGTTGTTTTTTTTTGGGGGGGGGGAGGACGATAAATCCGGAGGTCCCGTCTCCTGAATAACCTTACAGTGTTGGAAAGGATGTTAAACCTGTAATATTTTCCCCATTCATTTCGCTACGGGCCTCTGACCTTGGGCTCAGCACGTCACCTGGTCGTCCACTTACCAGAATCGTGATGTTGACGGGAGGAACGCCCAGTTCCTCTTCGTAGTGCCGAATAGAGCAGGTGATGATGAGAGTGCCTGTGATGGAGAAGCTGCCTTCTATGTGCAGCTTACTCTTCCTACCGGGCGGTTCTGGTTGGTGGTAGGGGTTGGGGAGTTGGGAGGGTGTCTAAAAGAGTCGCCCCATTTTGCTTTATAGCGAGCAAGGTAGTGATCAAACTGAATGCAAGAAATCCTCCCTCCCAAAAAAAAACAACAACAACAACACACACACAAAAACAACGACAACAAAACAAACGAACTCCTAAACCTCCAAATTAATGAAATGAATTTTCTTTTTTTTAAAATCGACACAATGGTACCATTTTCTGGTGAGGCTCATCGGTGTATGGGTGGAATTGAAGGTTGGGGGTGGGGGTTGAGAGGAGAGGAGTTTAAACATTTTAGAGATTCGAACCGGTGTCGTTTGCACTGCAGTTTTGCATGGTATCAGCTTAGCTTTCGGAGCGCCCAGTTCGTCCGTGATTCCTCCAGACTCTCAGCATTTGGGCAAGGAAGAGCCACCAAGCTCCGCCAAAGGCCATTGTGTTGTACATTATGTAGCTGTAAGTTACGAGCTCGTACCAACTCGTGGGCTCGTTAGCACAGAGAGAAATGTCTGCTTCTTTGAACAAATTACCTGGTTACCCCCCCCCCCCCCACACACACACACCTCTCTCTCTCTCTCTCTCTCTCTCTCTCTCTCTCTCTCTCTCTCTCTCACACACACACACACACACACACAAACACACACACGCAAGCAAACACACACACACACACACACACACATAACGCGCGCGCGCACACACACACACACACACACACACACACACACACACACACACACACACACACACACACACACACACACACACACACATAGCATCCTTCAGCAACGGCATGGCATAAACATTAACAAACCAAAGACTCGACAAAAATGGTACTCAGAACAAACCAAAAAGACTTACAGCTCACGACAAGAGATATGCTTATCATAGCAAACCAAAAAGACTTACAGCTCACGACAAGAGTGGTACTCTGAACAAAACAAAAGACTTACTGCCTCCTACTTGAGAAATGCTCATCATAACAAACCAAAAAGACTTACTGCTCACGACAAGAGGTGTGCTTATCATAGCAATCCAAAAAGTTTTAGTCTCAGTAAGAGTTTTACGGAACTTGCAACACAATAGGGTCATATAAGTGCCGAAGATTAGAGGTCTTACAAAAGAGTAACAAACACAAAAAAGAAGGCGGGGAGATAAAGACGATATATGTTTGATAGGAAAGAAGAAGCAAACCACACCGGAGCACCTGCCAACCACCCATCAATCCAAAAAGACTTATTGCAGCTCACTACAAGTGTAACAAGATGGATACTCAGACCAAACCAAAAGACTTACTGCTCACGATCAGAGTGGTACTCATCTGGATCTGGTTAGCCTGGGGTGGCTCCGTCGTCGTCACAGCAGCCTGGGTCGTACCTACGGAGGTTGTGATGAGGTCCGCAGGAGAACGTGTGGTGTTGAGCTCTGTCAAGTTATTGATTAACTGCGTCACCCCAGGCGGTACGGTCACATCTGGTTGGGGGGAGAGGAACGGGATGGGATGTGGTATGAGAGTTTTCTATTTTTTTCTTAGTTATTTATTTGGGTATAGCTGTTTCAAATCCTAATAAAACAGAGATAGACACCAACTAAGGAGGCGAGCACCGGACGAGGGGCGTTGAAGGGGCTACCGACTATCGGGCGTTAAGGGAAAAAAGAAAAAAAAAGAGGAAGAGTACAAGAGTAAATATCAAGGACCTTTCTATTTATATCCTCCTTGGTGAGTACCCAGACAAGATGCCACTCGCTGTGCTAGAGACATTGCGGCGTATTGCCCCCCCCCCCCCCTCCCTGCGGGTAGTTGCGACCATTGTTAGCGTGACGGCAGATATATGATATATTCTCTTGCCAGCTCGGGGTATTGAAAATGACAGACCAGACAATAGTTTTGTTTGAAGTATGACTTGGTTTGGGTTATCGTCCTGCTTCGTAGACGCCGTTTTCGCCATTTTAAACTCTCTGAAGACGTAGTGGAGGACACATGAGTCGGAGCCGCAGCAGACTAAAGGCAACTTTGCGGACCTCATGCACACGTACGAAACACGATGTTTCTGTATTTCATAGAACGTAGTATGTTGTTGGCTCTCTTTTTACGTTTGTCGTTTTTATCTCTCTCTCTTCTTTTTAATATCTGTTACTCTCTTGTAACACCTCTAATATTCGGCACTTATATGACCTAATTGTGTTATAAGTGCTGTAAAACACTTGAGACAAACAAAGCATTTACGTTTCAGATAATAAAAACAGACTTGACAAGTCTGCATGAAATAATGAAGTTGTGCTTCTTAAAAAAACCCAACAAACAGCTGAGTCCAACTTCCAAGCGCTGTGGAATGACCAGAAAGCGTGTCCTAAATTTAGTCCTAAACCAGTTCACCCGGGTGTACACGTATGCGATTCTCAAAATGGCCCAAAGACATTTTTTCAACATGTGTTAAGAAACCATTTAAGGAGATGTAAATGCAGTTTATGAACTTGTATATATTTTTATTTAGGGGAAACGTATTACCACTTTGTTTAAATCTCTCTTGAGTGAACATTTCATCTTACCTTTACATTACAAACATAGTTGGAAACACTTAAGCACTGAAAGGGTTAATAAGTTAAGTGCAGCACTCAGAAAAGTGGAATTAAGACTAGTTCTACGCGTATTTAGATTTTTCACAAATATTAAACGGCAGTTGAGATAAAAGGACATTTTTTAAAGAGAATGACAACGAAGATTAAAAAAAAATACAACATGGACTGGCATGGATAGCAGTTTAGAATGTGCAGCGGCAGCTTGCGACCGTGAAGGAGAGAGGTTTTTTTTTTACACATCAACCTCTGAATCAGAGATGACACCTCCAGGAACCCAGGTATCAGGATACTTGATTTGAGCAAACAACCAAGACACGGTATACATTATACCAAAGACACAGCCATCTGATTTCTGAACGGGAACCGCCGTCTGGGGTGGAACTGTTGGACGCACGAAGAAGACCCAAGTTCGATTCCCGTAGGAGGAATGTGGAGATATAATATCGAGTATCTCATTCTTTCTGCTTGTAAGCAGTGCCCCTCTAAGCCCAGGATCACCGTGACAGGCATGGTTGTCTGGCTGGCCTCCGTTAGGATGGCGGCAGTCTGCCGCAGGCAGACAGGTGAGCGGCAACCTCTTGTGGCCTCGTCCAGAGTACATCTGGGCCTGGTCTCGCGTTGTTCTCCATAAGTGGGCCTCGATGTGCTTCCCCCCGCGGGCACTCATACAGTGTGTGCTGCAGGTCGTCAGGACTTGTGCCAAACGCCAGACAGGAATCATTGGGAGTGGAGCCTATTGCATGGAGATACGCCTGCAGGATGGGGCTCTTCACGTTGCATCTTAGTTGCGATAACACTCTTCTCTGTCTGACGGTAATCTCTCTCTCTCTCTCTTTGTCCCTCTCCAGTGGTGGCTTCACCTTTCCCTCGACGTAGTCGTGCACTCGCGCTTTCTCCATGCATGGGCAATGATGTAACGCGAGATGCACGAGCTTCCTGACGCGAGATCGACTGGAGTGTTGGACTGGTCGAGGCGGCCTCCCTTGTTGGCCAGGGCATCAGCTCGGTCGTTCCCGTGGATGTCACAATGTCCTGGTATTCATTCTATGTGAAGGTGTCCGTGGATTTCACAGCAGTGGCAGACAGTGGTCCACATTTTGTCCTCTATCTCAGTACGAACTGCAGTCACTCCGTACATTAAGTCTTGAGCAACTGACTGAGAGTCTGTGAAGATGTGGATTCTTTGAAAACGTGGTTGCTTTTCGAGCCACTGCAGTGCGCGGAGCAGGGCGGTAGTTTCAGCTCGGTAGCTACTTCTGTATAGTCCCGCGGACACGGATACGCATGTTTTCTCCCCAGAAGATTTGTCTAGACACCAGTATCCGCCTCCACATAACCTGTAGCCGTCGGTGGCATGGCAGTCAGTGAAGATATCGAGGTCGGACGTAGGCAATCGGCGCACGGTCTCGAAAGCTGCTTCACGTCGCATATTAGGTGGATCTGTTTTTGTCGTAGACACTGCAAATTTTGAGTTGATTGTGAGGTTGCAGGGGTTCTTCGACGGGGGAGTTGTACTCACTGGCCGTAGGGGTTCTCGGATTAGATGTTCTAGTCCCGCGTTATTAGAGCTCTGTCGGCCCATTTCCCTCCAACTGTTGATGGACTTTAGGGGTATTTTTGATGTTCCTTCAGCTGTGGCACGGATCGGGTTGTCTTCTGGGACTCCTCTTGCTCTTTCGTAAGCCACAGCAGTTGCAATGTTAGACTTAACCTCAAGGGGGATGAGGCCAGCTTTGTTCTTGAGCAGCATTGCATTTGAGTCTCTCGTACACCCGGTAATTATACTGGCTGACGAGTTTTGAATAACATTTAAGATCTCACGATTTGTTTTGGCCGTTGCTGAGTACCAGGCTGCGTGGGCATACTGAATGGCTGATCTGATGTACACGATTTTTCCCCATACGTAAATCTTCTTTGCTGCATCCCCAGTCTGTGCCGGAGAGCCTGCGGAGGAGATTGACTCGTGGGGACAGATTTTTCTTTAATTTATTGATATGTTCTTTAAATGTTAACTAGCAATCAAAGGTCACGCCAAGGTAGGTAGGTGTTTTGTTAAAGGGCACCTCCTCGTCTCCCATTGTAAGCTGGGTACGCCAGGACATTTCACGGTTCCATGTCGTGAAAAAAGAGTATTCACATTTCGCCACGTTAATTTCCATCTTCCATCGTTTAGACCAATCGCAGATCTTGTCCAGAGCGGCTTGAACCATCGTGGAGGCAGTGTCAAGATATTCATGGGATGCTCATATTCCCAGGTCGTCTGCGAAGAAGCTGGTGTTGGTGCCTACGGGTAGGTCATCTACGATGTCGTTGATGTACGTGAGGAACAGAAGTGGTGATAATACTCCGCCCTGAGGGACACCGGGGAGGAAGCGATAATAGCGACTTTCTTTTCCCTCAAAACGAACTCTGGACCTTCTGTCGCCTAGATAGGCCTTGACCTGTCGTTGTAGACACGTGGGCATTCCTAAGGCGTTCATCTTGTAGAGGAGTCCAGTATGCCACACCTTGTCAAAGGCTCTTGAAAAGTCTATTAGACAGAGTATGGTTCTCTTTGCATTGAGTTTCGATCCAGAGTTGTCTTGAAGGTTGTTGGCTATGTGTTGCGTTATCCTGGCGATCTGGTCCTCTGTGCTACGCTGTGGTCGAAAACCGGCTTGCATATTGCATAGTTTTTGCTGGGTTTCCAGCCAGAACGTCATTCTTACTTTTACTAATCAGTCGTATAATTTCCCAATGCAGCTTGTTAGTTGGATGGGTCAGTACGAGGTTATTTGGGCAGGGTCCTTCCCGGTTTTAAGGATAGGAATTATCGTACCTTTTCGCCAGGCTGCTGGGTATTGGGCAGTTTTTTACACTCTATATATTCAAGAGAGAACTCAGGCCAGCTTCAGGAAGATGGGTCAGCATCATATTGTGGATTCCGTCATGTCCTGCAGATGTATTTTTGAGAACTTGTAGAGCAGCATTGAGTTCTGCCATAGTCAGTGGTGAATATATTCCATTCTGGCATTGGCATGTTGTTTTCATTGCTGTGTAGTTACTTCGATGCATCTTGCGATCAATGTTAATAGTTTCTCCCTTTGCTTCCAGTTCAGCCTTTGTGTCACTCTTGACACAGGAGACTTCACAGTACATCTGGGCAAACTTCTTTGCTTTCTTTGCACTGTCTGTTATCGTCTGTTGGTTAACTATTAGAGCTGCTCCTTGTGGTGATGATCTAGATTTCCCATTCAGGGCATTCACAGTTTGTCATGTCTTGCTTAGGTTGCTGCGCGAGTCTAGTGTCGATACGTAATCTTGCCAGCTTTTCCTTTTTGCTTCATGGATGATGCTTCTAGTCTTGGTACACTGTTCCCGCCATGGTTTGCAATGAAGCTCACTGTTATTTGCTTGTTTTCCTAGTCTAGTGCGCTCGGTAACAGCTTCTTGTACTTCTGAGTTCTACCATGCGGCTCTAGTTCCACTGCATCCATTGGGGATTGTAGTTTTTGCTATCTTGGCGATGATATTAGTCAGTATACTGTTTTGGGCATCAGTAGATTTTGCCTGAGCAATTTGTGATAGATTTTCGTTGAACTCTAACTCCAGTAGCTCCAAGTATTTTTCCGAGTTTGCCTTGCGCAAGATCAGACGTTTTCTAGGTTTCGGTTTTGTCTTTTCTTTTGATAGACTGTCGAAGAGCGTCTCCTAATTGATCTAAATTTTGTTGACGGGAACGTTAAAAAACCCACTTATATTCCGAAAAAAAATTACTGAACGGGAGACTATAGCATCTTCAGATCCCATAAAATTTTAGTTTTTTAAAAAGCCACAAGGATATCATTTTCAATATGCTTGAGCAGTCCCTTCGGCGAGGCTGCGAAGGAAAAAATGCTACTGGTTTATGTTAT